GTTTTATTAATTTCTGTACATGTTATGATAAAATGGTATTCATCTTCCACCTCTTTATGGCATAAAGGACATATTCTATTTTCCAAGGCTGTTTTGTTGTATCTACCGCGTTCAACAGCCAGCATACTATTACTTATTCTTATTTTGGCATAATTTTTTGTAACATTTTTATCTAAATTCAATAAAAGGTACTTTTCTAGTTCATACTTTACTTTAAATTTTCTGTAGGTTCTTAGTTTATTTCCATTTATTGAATTATCATCATTAAAGAGACAATTTTTCCAAAATATAATGTAATTTTCATTGAGCTTCTTCACGAGGGCTAAAAGTAATCGTTTTTTAGAATAGGTATGTTGATTTTCCCAAACATGAGTGAAATTCAATTTTGATAGTAGCATTTTAATTTTTGAAGCAAATCCATCATTTAACTGCTTGTTAACTTTATAAACATTATATAATAAAGACTCATTTTCATTTGAATTTAAAATATGTAACCAAAATCCTACAGAAGACTTAAGGGCCTGTATACCAATAGGGTACATTCCCAATTCAGCTAATACAGCTGTATTTACTGCCTTTGAATTAACATTAAGAAGACTTTTCGCAAATTTGATCTGGAGTTTTACTGATTCCATTGATAAGTATTGAGATTCAAGAGTTTTGTTGTTCTTCACAATATTTAGTGACCATATCGCACTACAATACAGTAACATTGGACTAACACAAGAATTAAAAAGTTTCATATGGGAAAAAACATCCATCTTATCTGAGTAAAGGATTTTTTTAATACAAAACAATGCCTTTGAAGCTTTTTTACAGAGGAGATTTACAGCATTAGTGAAAATTCCTGATGGCTTGAATAGTATACCTAAATATTTATATTCTGTGCAGCATTCGATTACTTCATTATTCAATACAAACTTGTCTTTAGTAAGTTTTTTACCACTTTTATTAAATATCATTGTTTTCGTCTTGTCAAGATTGACAGTCAAGTTCCATTTTTCACAATAAGTGTTTAACTTGTTTAGACAATTTTGTAAACCTTCTGAAGATTCTGATATTAATACTAAGTCATCAGCATATAAAAGACTAGACAATTTTATGTCATGTAATGTTACAGGATCACATGAGTTATCAAACATGGAGGTTAAATCATTTATATAAAAAGAAAATAAGGTAATGCAGCCTTGTTTTACTCCAACTGTGGAAGGAAACATCTTAGTAATGCCTTCAGTGACTTTAACTGCAAATAAAACTTCTTTGTACATATCTTTTAGAATATTGAGGAATGGTCCATTTATGTTATATTCAGCAAGTTTATGTAACAGGGCCTCTCTATTTATAGTGTCAAAAGCTTTTTTAAAATCAATAAAACATGCATATATTCTTTTGTTTGATTTAAAAGCTTTATCAATAATAGTTTTTAAAGTTAGAATGTGATCACTAGTTCTGCATCCTTTTTTGAATCCAATCTGTTCACGACAAATAATTTTATTAGTTTCAGAATACTTTTCTAAACGATTATATAAAACTCTTGAGAAAAATTTTCCTAAGCAGCTAGAAAGTGCTATACCTCTGTAGTTTGAGGGATCATTAAAACACCCTCCTTTAAAAACTGTAATACTGCGACCAGTATTGCATCCGCTTTAGCTAATGTACTTAAATGTCATTAAGTCATACTGATTCAATTATTCTCAATCATTGCACAAAAAGTGTGAAGACAATTGTAATAGTAATTGTTAAAAAGATTTTTTTTTTCTTTTAGATTTAAGATATATACATGTTGTTGATTGAGGCCAGAGGGTCTTGTGTACTTTAAGAAAGAAAAAATACTTTAAAGTCCCATTTTCTTTTTACATAGAGGAATTAAAAAGATGTAAATTCTAGATTTCTTAGTAGTAAATTTATTTTATATTTTTTGGTTTTTCTCTCTTAATCATTAATCTATTTGCTAGTTAAAGAGGGATAACTCTAGCTGTTTATTTTGAAAGCTTTTATTTGAATTTTTGCTATGAATAAAGTAGTTCTAACTAATACAAAACATATTTCATTGTGGTACAGCAATGAACAGTTGATACAATTTTAAAAGAATTATACATTTGCTAATTGCATTAGTTAATTAGGTTAAGAATAAAATTGAGAATGGAAATGGGGAATGTGTCAAAGAGACAACAACCCGACCATAGAACAGACAACAGCAGAAGGTCACCAACAGGTCTTCAATGCAGCGAGAAATTCCCGCACCCGGAGGCGTCCTTCAGCTGGCCCCTAAACAAATATATATACTAGTTCAGTGATAATGAACGCCATACTAAACTCCAAATTGTACACAAGAAACTAAAATTAAAAATAATACAAGACTAACAAAGGCTAGAGGCTCCTGACTTGGGACAGGCGCAAAAATGCGGCGGGGTTAAACATGTTTATGATATCTCAACCCTCCCCCTATACCTCTAGCCAATGTAGAAAAGTAAACGCATAACAATACGCACATTAAAATTCAGTTCAAGAGAAGTCCGAGTCTGATGTCAGAAGATGTAACCAAAGAAAATAAACAAAATGACAATAATACATAAATAACAACAGACTACTAGCAGTTAACTGACATGCCAGCTCCAGACTTCAATTAAACTGATTGAAAGATTATGTCTTCATCATATGAATATCAGGCACAATCCTTCCCGTTAGGGGTTTAGTATCATACCATCATAACATATATGAGAAGAACAAAACCCGTGTCATGCCAACAACTGGTTTTTAAATAAATGTGTTTAGTGCCGATGCAAAGACCCTATAAGTGAATCAATATTAATGCCAAAATATGCAATCTTTAATGACCTGACAACAGTATCGTAACTATATCCCTTCTTAATAAGTCTAAGAACCCTATCCTTGTTCATGATGTTTGTTTGTTTTTTTAAACACAAAACTATGTGTATTAAAGTGTCAAGAAATTTATCAATTACTTCATGGAATGTAAATGGTTTATTTAGAAAATTAAGTGGAGACAGGTTATTTAAACTAGATGATGAAATTTTAGTAAAATAATGACATCTGATATTGTATGCTTATCAGAGACACATGCCTCCTCAAAGGATATTTTATTTTATAATGGATACAAATGTTTTACTAACTGCAGACAGTCTGAAACTAATAGAGTATTGGGTGGTTTAGCCACTTTGATTAAAAAGGAAATTTTGCAAGGTGTTAAATTAATTGATAAAACAATGAGTGACATGATGTGGTTTAAACTTGACAAAAATTATTTTGGCTTTGAGAAAAATCTATTCATCTGCTCCATGTATATACCCCCCAGTAACTCATCATACACTATGCGAACTAATTGTGATAAACAAATGTTTGAAAAACTAGAGCAAGATATTACAAAATTTTCTTTAGAGGGTAATATTGCTTTAATTGGAGATTTGAATGCCCATATCAATGTTAGTGAGTCTGACTATACTGTGGATTCATTTATTTTCGTGGGTACCAATTTTCGTGGATTGAGGAAAACTTACACTTTCGTGGATATTTTATTTCGTGGTTTTGCTAAAGTCTGCATACAAGTCTATGGAAAATTTGTAATTCGTTTAACATTTAAATTCGTGGTTCACCTGTACTCAAGAAATCCACGAAAATTGGTATCCAACGAATAATAATGAATCCACAGTATTACAAATGAAATTGATGACAGCCTAGATGATTTTCTCCCTATTAATTACATAGCAGATGCTGTGCTTAAATCAAGAAGTACTGAAATTTCACAAAACACCAACAGTTATGGTAAACAATTAATCGAGTTATGCATTTCTGCTCAATTAAGAATTTTAAATGGAAGAACTTTAGGAGATTCTAAGGGAAAAGTTACATTTTTTAATCATAATGGAATTTCTATTGATGACTACTGTATTTGCAGCTCTGGGTTCTTGCCAAGTATCATAAATTTTTCAGTTAATAAATTTGAGCCAACAGTATCAGATCATTGTCCAATAACAGTAAATATCATGTCTCAAATAAATAAGCAACCACCAGAACCGCAGTGTCATATCGGCCTGGGGAGAACACTGAAGTCTAAAACAAATTACGTGGATTCCCCCGGAACTACTAGTGGTACATTTGTTTGTAGGTCAATAGTATTTGGTATGCAGTTGAACAAGCACAGGGACATTTCATTTCCATGGAGATTATTTGGCCCTGCTCCTTAGTCATGGTCTATTGACTTTAATACTTTCAATGCATATTTTAACATTTGCACATACCTCAAAACTCTGGTATTATTCATCCTAATGACATTTAACATCCTTTTCTTCGTATTTGCCTTCAAGAGAGACATTTCTAGGAAAGGAACACAAAGACAACTTTAGAATAACAAAAAATGTTTTTGCACAGTTTTAGTTAAAAGGATGACATTAATGAAAGTAAAACATGACTGTTTTTGTCATTTCAAAGATATATTTTACTGTTAAAATATCATTATACAAATTATTTGTGATTGAAATTTTTCATAGAAAAAATATCCCCAAATTATTGTAATGACTCTGTATGTATTGTGTTATCAAACAAGAATTATTTAATAATAAATAGTTCACTAAATGGCAAAAATTATTGAAACTTCAGTATATTAATAACCATGATACATGTACTGTTGATTCATTATATTCGTGGGATACAAATTTTGTGGATTTCCTGGGTATCTGGTGAAAGACAAATTTAAATGTTAAATGTTGCACAAATTTTCTACAGGCTTGTACGCAGACAGTAACAAATCTACAAAATCAAATATCCATGACAATACAATTTTTCCACAATCCACAAAAAATTTTACCCATGAAAATATATGAATCCACAGTTAAACTGTAGATCTGCATCCACCTCTTAGACAGGCATATTGATGGTTGAAATTTATTAAGATATTTTTCACATTTGTAAAAATCTTGCTGTTTTCTACTATGGAAATCTCTATTGCCATATCTAATTATAATGTTTTCAAAATTTTACAGTTTGCTTGAATCTTTACTGTCAAAACTGTGGTTAGTGATGGTCTAAGGGAGATAATTCTCATATTTATCACATTGTGAAGTAAAGATGTCAGATGAGAGAAATTTCCGTACATACTACTATAAGAAGTTTGGAATAGGAGGAGTAGAAGAGAAAAAATCCATTGAAATACTACTGAACGAGCATCCATTAAATGTTGACAAATTACGACAATTCTGTCTGATGTTCCCAGTGCCAGCAAAGTACAGAATATATTTATGGAAAGTTATCTTCGGTAATTTGTTGAATTAAAATTTTATCATATCCCTGTTCGTTATGCAGTCTATATTTTTAATTATGTACAAAGAGCAATTAAGATAAGTTTACTAGATGAACCATGAATTAAATGAGAACCTGACAGACAGAAGTCCACAAAACATGTCACATACAAGTAAAAATTGAGCAACTTGTGTCCCACCAACGGAAAAAAAAATTCTCAGGCTCTCAGGGAGTCCAGAAGAAGGATCTGGATAGGGGGGTGGGGTCCTTCAATTCTGCATTCTTTTCTTTATTGTTTAAACCATTTATCTCTATTCTTTATAAATTTTGCCCATTATTTTCTATTCTTTATATTTTAGCTCCCCATGATTTTCTATTCTTTACTTTTCAGCCTTTTTAACACTAATCTTTATTTTTATAGCCAACTTTTCTGTAGTTTTGGCTCATTATTCTCTATTCTTTAAACCCCGTCCTGACCCTCCAGAAGGGTGAGCAGTTTTTACTCCACTAGTAGCACCCAATGTGCTTTTTAATTCAAGTAAAATAGTGTGAACAGTCATTTGTAGTGTATCCCATGTATCCTGAATGAAAATAAAGTACTTTTCTGAGAAAAAAAAATGATAATCAACAAAACAGTTTCATGTTATAAATTATTGGCATTTTACATTATTAGGTATTTTACCATGTAGTCAAGGATCTCATGATTTTGTGATGGACCAAAGAAAGCAACAATATAATGATTTACTTCATGCCCTACAATTGATGAGAAGGGTAGATAACTCTACCACTGCAGGATTACTGGTTCTGAAAATGTACAAATTAGAAACTGGTATGCTGACTTTTGAAGAACAAGAATTAGTAAGTTTATATTACCCCTGCTTTAACAGCAAGTACTAATTTAATATTGGATGAAGTACTTCTGGCTAATATATATTGTAAAAAATGCTGTCTCTTTGTTGTCTCGCCTTGACGGAGTCAAAAAGCAAGACATAGGTATGCTGTTTCCGGTGTCGGCGACGGTGGCGACGGCGTCAACAATGTATTAGTTTGTGATTAGGTCTAGTTCATGGTGAACCACTAGTGGTAGGTCAATGATATTTGTTATGCAGTTGTATTAGCATTGGCACATCTCATTACCATGGAGATTATTTGGCCCCGCCCCCTCAGTCAAGGTCTATTGACTTTTAAACTTTTCATAGTTAACATGTATTAGTTTGTGATTAGGTCAATTTATGGGGAACCACTAGTGGTAGGTCAATGATATTTGGTATGCAGTTGTATAAGCATTAGCATATCTCATTTCCATGGAGATTATTTGGCTCCGCCCCGTTAGTCATGGTCTATAGACTTTGAAAATTTTGCTAAGTTAACATGTATTAGTTTGTGATTAGGTCAGTTCAAGGGGAACCATTAGTGGTAGGCCAATGTTAATTGGTAATCAGTTGTATAAGCAATTGCACATCTCATTTCCATGGAGAATATTTGGCCCCGCCCCCTCAGTCATGGTCTATTTACTTTGAAACTTTTGCTTACTTTACATGTATTAGTTTGTGATTAGATCAGTTTGAGATGAACTGCTAATGTTAAGTCAATGATATTTGGTATGCAAATTTATTGGCATTTGCAAGAATCGTTTCCATGGAGATTATATAGCCCCACCCCTGATCATGGTTCATTGACTTTGAAACTTTTACATAGTTTACAAGTTAATGTTTGTGTTTAGGTTTGTTTAAAGGGAACGACTTACAATAAGTCAATGGTATTTGGTATGCAGTTGTATTAGCATTGGCACATCTCATTCCATGGAGATTGTTTAGCCATGTTCCTTCAGTCATGGTTCATCGACTTGGAGTATTTGCATAACTTACATGTTAAAGTATTGCTATTTTAATTTCAACATTTGCATTATCAAAATTACAAAAAGGCGAGACATATCTCTGTGATAACAGTTTATGAAAGATTGTCATAGAATATTCAATAATTGTGCTGTTAAGTTTTAAATTTAAGATTTCATAATTTCTAGTAACAAACCTGTATTCTAGATATTTTATTCGTGCATTTTTCTTGCATGATTCTAAAGAGAAAATTACACGAAGGATATTTTTGCTATAACTGTCTTTCATATTTAACAAAGAAGTATCTAGGCATGCTTTTCATATTTATTGGGGGGCCTCGGTGGCCGAGTGGTCTAATTAGTTACTACTGTAATCACTAGCCAGTCAAAACTGAGGTTGTGAGTTCAAACCCCGCTCGTGCGGGTGCACTCGACTCCAATCTTAATTGACTAGGATTGTCAGTTTTCCTATCAAAGGTCGGTGGTTTTCTCTGGGCACTCCGGCTTCCTCCACCAATAAAAACTGGCCGCCACGAAATAGCCCAAAAGCGGTGCTTAAAAGTGGCGTTAAAACACCAAAAATCAAAATCAAATCATTTTTATTGGTCATGTTGGTGTAGAACCAATTTTCATGGATGTCATTGAAATAATTAAACCACAAATATTAATGTTTATTGAAACACACATTTTATTGAAGGTTTTATGAATGTTTTTGCACGTGCTGCCACAAAATCAAATATTTATGAAAATAAAATTTTTCTTTAATCCACCAACATTTTTTATCCAAAAGAATAAATGAATCCAGAGTAAAATGTCTAAAGCATTAGTGAAAAGGGAACTATTAAGGATCAGTCAATGGTATTTGGTGTGCAGTATTATAAGTATTTACAATTCTCAGTTCCTTAGAGGTTATATGACACTGCATCTTCAGTCATAGCTCATGGACTTTGAATAGTTTGAATCTAGGTAACATGTTTAAATATTGCCATTTTAATTTCAACATTTCCTTTATACTATCAAAATTATGAAAAATTAAGACAAAGTGCCACAAAATTGTAAATACTTATAAGATCTCTGTGCTGTATGAGTGTTTATATTATTTCTGTATTTTCAGGTGGACCCAGATGATATGGCTTTGTTTTCTATCTCCGAAGCTTTAAGTAATATTGAGGAAGACGATATTAATGTTTACTGGATTGCCAAAAAGTTTTATGAATATTTTCTGAAATGGAAAGAGCCAATTTTGAGTCTGGTTTGTAATGTTTGTAATTGTCTCTGTGTAAAAATGTTGATATAAATATAAGGGACAAAGTCATAAAACTGCAGTTTGCACTGTTCTTACTGAATATTTATTTTATTAGAGATTAGCAGATGTTTTAATGAATTCTTATGACTCTAATAGCTGTAATAGTTTTTAGAAAAAAAAATTCTTGCATTTTGTTAGAAATGTTAGAGACAAAGTATCATTGAATGAAAAAAAAACTTAATTTTAACAAGTTTATACAAGAAGAGATCTGGTTATTGATTTTGGGTTGAATACTAGCACACACACAGCTTCTAGGTTGCTGGTAGCTCCAGCTGTTTCTGTACAATAGCTTTCGAACTGTTTAATCAATGCTTTTATAACTGTGGTAGGTGACTGATGAAAAAAAAGAAGGTGAAGTTTGATTTTGATGGTGTTCACGTTGCGGTTCAGCCTTAGGGGTTTAATCCTATATGGAAAAGACCTTATATGTCAATTCCAGTTGCAAAAAATTGGGACTTCTAGATCTAATACATTACAAATGATCTGATGTTGTAATGGTTTCTTATTACAAAATGGAGGTCAAGATTGAGTATGATGATTTTTATTTTTGCTGGTCAGGAGTTATGCCCCTTGATAGATTTAACAGTGACACTGATAACTGCAAAAACCCTTGTTTGACATCATTTTGTCAGCGTGTTGTATAACATTGTATAAAAAAATTGGAAATTTAAAACAATATGACACAAATTATTATAATGACAAAAGTTGAGACCTATATATAAAATGGGTATACAATCTATCAATAGCGTATTATTATTCTTTACAGACAGAAAAAGCTGTGAACAGCCTGAAGAAAGAGGATCCCAAGATTTGGCAGCACTTGAATCAACATGACATGTTCAGTATACTACCACTCAGAGCCTGGTTTCTATCAGGATTTGCTGATATTTTACCCAATACATCCATGGAAAGGTTTTGACTTTTTGATAACTTCTTTGCACTCAGAAATATTAAAATAGAAATACTACAGTACGCACAGAGAGTTTGTAATCGCGAACTCTAATCACGGATTTCGGAGTGTAGCGGTGTCACACCGCGAATCACAGATTATACTCCCAATTTCCTCCAAAGATTCTCTCCCAACATCGTGTGGCTGTTAATTGGTTTATTGCCCATCGGGTGTACTGAAAATTAATGACGTGTGACAACATAATCGGATTAGCCAGATTTATTACCTTTGTACATTTAATCAATCTTGATTGCACCTGTGTGCTTTAAAACACAGTATTAAAATTTCCTTTCTTTGACAGATGAAAATGTGACATTTTCATTCAAAATAAGATAATTATTCTTGTATGTATTTGCCCCATGTCATTGTCATTTGAAATAAAACGTACAAACGTATAAAAATACGAATAAAACACTTATTAGGCAGTTAAGCTGCCTTATGCGAGCACCCTAGATTTGTGTTCTACCCAATAAATGCTGAAATACGTGCCATTGTTATTATCTAGCTGGCTATTATGTTATTTATAACTAATTGGACATTTTTTTAATACTTTTATTTCTGGAATACAAAAAATATGACCAGAAAAACCTTAAATGATCGTCGAACTACCCAAAACTTTTGAAGTTGCACATAGGAAGTAGTGCTCAATAGAAATCCGTACGTAGTTTATTATCCCCTGTGCTTTTGGCTACGATGTCAAAGAACAATTGTATGAAATATTTCATCGCCGAAAATCGGTAATTACAAGTCGTTTATATTTCCCAAATGGCAAAATGCGCAGGAATATTGTTCATGTACAACAAATCTCTATGATAGAGGAAATAAAGTTATATAAGTGGGTGGTAATTTCTAACTTATCTTGCCAAATAAGGTTGTTGTTATTTTATGAATGAAACGAGGTCATGAAAACAGATGTGGAAATCGACGTTGATGGGATGTTTTAAGTAATGTGGACAACTCGTCCCCGAGACAAGTCGGACCGAATCCACTCAAACCGTCTAGGAAGACAACTTTGACCGTTTGTCAGATTTACTTAGGGTTTCATAAAATATTAGACTAACATGTCTAGCGGAGCCATTTATCTTTTGTTTGTGCATTGGGGTCTATTTAGGGGTATTTGGAGGGGCCTGAAGAAGGGAGGGGTTTACTATAGAACCCTATGGGATTTTATTTTTTAAAATTTTCAAATGACTATTTCTCGAAAACAGTAGGTGATAGACACATGCAGTCTTCAGTAATGAGAACAGGACAATACAAAAAATCAACCAAAATATAGGGTGAGTCCCTGGGGGTCATCCCAACCCCCTTTAATTTGAAAATGTACTTTTATCTTGTAAACCGTCGCGATCCCCACCCCTAAACAATATATATACTTGAATGGGACAATTAAAGAAATCAAATGAAAATAATTTGGGGGAGTCCCCAGTGTCGTCCCATCCCCTCCTGTTTGAGAACTTGGAAATAGTCAAGATCCCCACCCCTAAACCATATATATTCATGTATGGGACAATAAAACAAATCAAAAATGAAATATAGAGTGAGTCCCTGGGGTCACCCCACCCCCTCCTGTTTGAGAACTTGTAAACGGTCGAGATCCCCACCCCTAAACCGTATATATTCATGTATGGGACAATATAACAAATCAAATGAAATATATGGGGAGTCCCTGGGGTCACCCCAACCCCTCCTGTTTGAGAACTTGGAAATGGTTGAGATCCCCACCCCTAAACCATATACATTCATGTATGGGACAATAAAACAAATCAAATGAAATATAGGGGGAGTCCCTAGGGACACCCCCGCCCCTCCTGTTTGAGAACTTGTAAACAGTCAAGATCCCCACCCCTAAACCATATATATTCATGTATGGGACAATATAACAAATCAAATGAAATGTATGGGGAGTTCCTCGGGTCACCCCACCCCCTCCTGTTTGAGAACTTGGAAATGGTCGAGATCCCCACCCCTAAACTATATATATTCATGTATGGGACAATATAAAAAATCAAATGAAATATAGGGGGAGTCCATGGGGACACCCCACCCCCTCTTGTTTGAGAACTTGTAAACAGCCAAGATCCCCACCCCTAAACCATATATATTCATGTATAGGACAATATAACAAATCAAATGAAATATAGGGGGAGTCCCTGGGGTCACCCCACCCCTCCTGTTTGAGAACTTGGAAATGGTCGAGATCCCCACCCCTAAACCATATGTATTCATGTATAGGACAATATGACAAATCAAATGAAATATAGGGGGAGTCCCTGGGGTCACCCCACCCCCTCCTGTTTGAGAACTTGTAAACGGTCGAGATACCCACACCTAAACCATATTTATTCCTGTTCATCATTTCAAAAAGTTTTGAATGACATACAGGGTCAATCTCCTTGGTGTCACATATGCATATCACTTTACTAGACCAAACCAATATGAACTGGACTTTGCCCAATGTCAGGAGACCATGGGAATGACGAATTATGGGGGCTTTGTTTGGGAGACTTCGTAACGGCATCCTGTTACAATTATTTCTTGTTTATTATAAAAAAATTTTGATCCAAAAAATGAGTCTAGATTATTGAATTTACTTTAATTGTTTATTAAATTATTTCTGGGCCTATAATAATTTTCATTTATGGCTCATTTTAAAGAAAACATATAAATCTTTCAAGCAGTGTTAAGCCCGAGAATGTTTGACCAACTGTTTTATAATCACCTGTCATTTTATTCCAAACTTGGTATGGAGTAACATCATGCACTTTGGGGTGAAGATGGGGGTCATTTACATTGATATATGAGTTGCTTTTGAAAACCTTGATGAAATATTAATTAATTTGCCTTAATAATCAATTCATTTAATGAACATAAATGTACAATATACGAATGTTTAATGTTTGTTCTTTCAAATCTTAAAAGAAAATTGAAGCAACATTGCCACAGTTTTCATAATTACGTTTGCTTTGGTTTTTGGTTAACTGCCTACAGCGCTTACAGTGCTTTGATTTTGTATTTTAATTATAGTCCGGTCAGGTCATAATTTTTGTTTTTTCAACAAAGACGATTTTACTACAATTAGAATCTTTTATGACCTACTCAGTGAGCAATATCAGGTTCATTAATTGTTCAATATATAAATATCAACTGGCTTAAAACAAAATGATGTTTTTACGGTAATTTGTCCAATCTAAACCCAAGAGTTAATTTATCGGATCAACAAGTGAACTCTGTTACTTTCAATTTATTTTGCAATGTAAAATATTATGTTTCACTACCTCGGTAGATTATCGACTTGAAATATTTGAACTCAGAAAAGAAACTGTAAAGTGACAACTCTGTTGAACGAAGGGAAAACGTTTTGTATGTAATGTGCCCTATATTCATAAAAATTTGTGATTTTTTTTATAATTTTATATCACTTCTATCATTACCTATAATGAAGATCTGTCAGAGTTGAATTGATAAATTTTATAAGATTGTTGGCAATGATTTACCTTGATTTTCCAGTGAAATAAAAACCAATAATTTCACAATTGAAGTAAATCTGACAATTTGACTCCTCCGACGTCATGCAACAATGGGTGTTCAGGTGTTGTTGATGATTTTGCATCAAAATAAATTGATAATGTGTAGAAAAAAATATTGTTTCTATCATTTTCTACACTATTTCAATCAATATAAGTCCATGGTCAAGGTAATAAAATGCTTCGCTGGGCGCAGCTTGATACGACCGCAGAGGTCGAACCCTGAACAGTTGGGGCAAGTATGGACACAACATTCAAGCTTGATACAGCTCTGAATTTGGATTGTGATTAAATATTTGACACAGCATAGGTTTCTGATACAGAAAGAATGTGGTTTAGGAACTTCAATTTTTTTAATTTACCTATTATGGTCCAATGTCCAAAATCAAAATACATGGTTAGATTCAGCATATCAAAGAACCCCATATATTCAATTTTTGTTGAAATCAAACAAAGTTTAATTTTGGACCCCAACTTGGACAAACTTGAAAACTGGTCCCATAATAAAAAATCTAAACACATGTTTAGATTCAGCATATCAAAGTACCCCAAGAATTCAATTTTTGTTAAAATCAAACTAAGTTTAATTTTGGACCCTTTGGACCTTAATGTAGACCAATTTAAAAAACGGGACCCAAAATTAAAAATCTAAAAACACGGTTAGATTTGGCATATCAAAGAACCCCAATAATTCAATTTTTGATGAAATCAAACAAAGTCTAATTTTGGACCCTTTTGACCTTAATATGAACCAATTTGATAGCGGGCCCACAAATAAAAAATCTAAATACATGGTAAGATTCAGCAAATCAAAGAACCCCATATATTCAATTTTTGTTGAAATCAAACAAAGTTTAATTTTGGACCCCAATTTGGACCAACTTGAAAACTAGGCCAAAAATCTAAAATCTAAATACATGTTTAGATTTGGCATATCAAAGAACCCCATATATTCAATTTTTGTTGAAATCAAACAAAGTTTAATTTTGGACCCCGATTTGGACCAACTTGAAAACTGGGCCCATAATCAAAAATCTAAATACATGTTTAGATTCAGCATATCAAAGAACCCTAAAAATTCAATTTTTGTTAAAATCAAACTAAGTTTAATTTTGGACCCTTTGGACCTTAATGTAGACCAATTTGAAAACGGAACCAAAAATTAAGAATCTAAATACACAGTTAGATTCTGCATATCAAAGAACCCCAATAATTCAATTTTTGATGAAATCAAACAAAGTTAAATTTTGGACCCTTTGGACCTCAATGTGGACCAATTTAAAAACGGGGCCCAAAATCCAAAAACTTAATACACAGTTAGATTCAGCATATTAAAGAACCCCAAGAATTCAAGAACAAAACCCCATTGAAATTGATCAAGAAATAAGCAATTTATACGAAGTATCTTCTTTTGCACTATACTGTGCAATTGAATATTTCTTGCTATTGCGCAATACTGTACAATTGACAATTTCTTGCTATTGCGCAATATTGTGCTATTGGATATTTCTTGCTATTGCGCAATACTGTGCAATTGAAGATTTCTTGCTATTGCGCAATACTGTGCAATTGAAGATTTCTTGCTATTGTGCAATACTGTGCAATTGAAAATTTCTTGCTATTGCACAATACTTATTATATAATAATTTACACATATCATTATTATTTGCTTTTAAATATAAATCAGAAATAACCAACTTAAAATGGAAAATTTTAAAAGAAAAAAAAAAAAGAAAAAAAAGAAAAAAAAAAAAATCCCCCCCCCCAAATTTTTTGAACCCCCTTATGATTCATCACCCCCAAACTCAATCCCAGCCTTCCCTTTGTGGTATGGTACCTTGCAGTACAATTTCAGAGAGATCCATACACTTGAACACAAGTAATTGTCTGGAAACTAGAAAAATGCTTATTTTTTGCCCCTTTTTGGCCCCCAATTCCTAAACATTTCGGGCAATTACCCCCAAACTCAATTCCAGCTTTCCCTTTGTGATATGGAACCTTGTAGTACAATTTCAGAAATATCCAAACACTTACACACAAGTTATTGTCATGAAACTAGAAAAATGCTTGTTTTTTGCCCCTTTTTTGGCCCCTAATTCCTAAAATTTTGAGGCAATTACCCCCAAAATCAATTACAGCCTTCCCTTTGTGATATGGAACCTTGTGGTACAATGTCAGAGAGATCCATACACTTACACACAAGTTATTGTCTGGAAGTTACAAAAATGCTTATTTTTGGCCCCTTTTTGGCCCCTAATTCCTTAACTGTTGGTACCATAACCCCCAAAATCAATCCCAACCTTCCTTTCGTGGTATAGAACCTTATGGTAAAATTTCATGGAGATCCATTCACTTAAACTAAAGTTAGAGTGCGAAAACCAATGTGTCTTCGGACGACGCTGGACGACGCCAGACGACGACGACGACGCCAACGTCATACCAATATACGACCAAAAAATTTTTAATTTTTGCGGTCGTATAATAAAAAGGATAAATGATTCAAGAATTCAAAAATCGAAAAAAAATCAACTTGTGACAGAACAACACGTAATTTACTCATGTGCTACACACATTTGTGAACTAATGTGTTGTCCCGTGACTAATTGAACATTTTCATATATATTTGAATTCTTGGATAAGTTATTCTTTAAATCTCAGTAATTTTTTTAAATTTAGCCAAAATCATTATAAGAAATAGTTTCTTATTTAAGAGAACAATTGCAGTGAAACTATTTTTTTTCTGTTTTGATTTAATTAGATAGACTTGAAATTAAATTGGTGTTTTGTTGATTTCAGAATATGGGACAAAGTGGTTGGTGGATCTTTTGCAGTTCTTGTACATGTAGCTGTTGCAATCTTCTTGACCTTCAAAAGACCTCTGCTGAGTATGAACAACAGAGAATCTATGTTAAAGTATTTATCAAAAGTAAGGAATTATTTTGCATTTAAATATGAAAAGTGTTAAGAAAAAAACAACGTAGATTAACCCTGCCACATGTGTATGTCCCCCAAGTCATTAATGCTAGTCTTGGGTGTCCATTAGAATATTTAGTGGTACTGGCAGATCCTTGGTTGTTTTAAGTTTGCTGATCCCTTGTTATGGGATTATCAACTCTAATTTCCCTTTTTGGGAAAGATTCATGCCCTAAGCAGGCCAAAGAAACTTTTACATCCACTCTTACAGGTCTTTTTGGAAGTCAGATTTCTGACCTCTGTCTACATACCCTCTTTTTTTCTGGTGGCAGTACACATTTCCAAAGCTTTATCCTTTTTACTATCTTTACTGAAACTGCTAATATTTTTTTTACATTAGTTTCCATCCTGAATATGCATAAGATAATTAAAGGTTTCCATCCTGAATATGCATAAGACAATTAAAGGTTCCCATCCTGAATATGCATAAGATAATTTAAGGTTCTCATCCTGAATATGCATAAGATAAATAAATGTTCCCATCCTGAATATGCATAAGATAATAAATGTTCCCATTCTGAATATGAATAAGATAATTAAATGTTCCCATCCTAAATATGCATATGACAATAAAGGTTCCCACCTGAATATGCATAAGATCACTAAAGATTCCGATCCTGAATATGAATAAGATTATTAAAGGTTCCCATCCTGAATATGCATAAGACAATTGAATTCTCCCATTCTGAATATGCAGAAGATAATTAAATCTTCCCATCCTGATTATGCATAAGATAATTAAAGGTCCACAACTTGAATATGTATAAGATAACTAAAGGTTCCAATCTCTATTATCCTATATACTTAAAATTTTAATGCACAAAAAACATGAACTCTGTCACTCTAAAAACAGTGTTTCATAATACATTAGGTTATCTCCCTTTCCACACACACACACACACCAATCAAAGAAAATATTTTAGACACAAGTGCATAAGATAATAAATGTTCCCATTCTGAATATGCTTAAGATAATTAAATGTTCCCATCATAAATATGCATATGACAATAAAGGATGCCATCCTGAATATGAATAAGATTATTAAAGGTTCCCATCCTGAATATGCATAAAACAATTGAATTTTCCCATTCTAAATATGCAGAAGATAATTAAATGTTCCCATCCTGATTATACATAAGATAATTAAAGGTCCACAACTTGAATATGTATAAGATAACTAAAGGTTCCAATCCTGAATAAGCATAAGATAATTTAAGGTTCCCATTCTGAATATATATAAGATAATTAAATGTTCACATCCTGAATATGCATAAGACAATTGCATTTTCCCATTCTGAATATAATTAAAGATTCCCTTTCTGAATATGCATAAGAGAATTAAATGTTCCCATCCTGAATATGCATAAGATGATTAAAGGTTCCCATCCTGGATATGCATAAGATAATTAAATGTTCCCATCCTGAATATGCATAAGATGATTAAATGTTCCCATCCTAAATATGTATAAGATAACTAAAGATTCCAATCCTGAATATGCATAAGATATTTAACATTAGAAATTATGCCCACAAAAAAATCAGTCATCAATGTTGAAGAGTGTAAGTTGACATCTAGAGGTCATTTCTGTGTTTTTTTTTCAGTTGACTAATAGACACATACTGTGAATTCATTTATTTTCGTGGGTATCAATTTTCGTGGAATGAGGAAAACTAGCATTTTCTTGGATATTTCATTTGGTTGATTTGCCAATCTCTGCATACAAAGCCTCTAGAAAATTTGTAATTCATTGAACATTTGTATTCGTGGTTAACCTGTACCCACGAAACCCATGAAAATTGGTATCCAACGAATAATAATGATTCCACAGTAGTCACATCTCTCTATTATCCTATATACTTATAATTTTATTGCACAAAAAATATGAACTCTGTCACTCTGAAAACAGTGTTTCATAATACATTAGGTTATCTCCCTTTCCACACTCACACACCAATCAAAGAAAATATTTTAGACACAAGTGCAACAACCATAAACTTATCCAAAAAGCCTTTAAAAATGTCTATAATGGATAGTAGATCTTGCCTTTAATTTAGTACTGTCTGTTTCTTACATTTTAAACTATTTTAAGTTGATCAGATTTTAGAGTAAATACATAAAAAGCACAAAATGTAGTTAGGTTAAAGTGTGAGAGGCTAACATACAGTCCTCATTGCCTATCTAGACCATTTGTTGTAAAAGTAAAATACACAATATAAAACCTGCTCAGTCAAGCTACCAGCAGGATGACAACTTATTGTAACAATGGAATAAAAGTGGATACAGAATGTGGAAAGCTGGTCAATCGCTACAACAGAAAGATATTTTTTGTGAAAAGGTTGTTAAAATTCCGAAAATAAATTTAAATGGAATTTTTTATGTAATCCATAGATTTTTTTTGGGCAGAAACAGAGCCATAATAAACATGATAAATAATATTTGTATATCAAGTGCTGATAGCCCGCTAATTTTAGTGTTAAATATTTTTATTATTTATAGTTACCAGAAGATAGTGGAGATGTTGTGGTTGTCAAGGCATTAGATCTATGGCAACAACATGGAGGACACCAGATGGTAGCAAGGTCTGATTCTCCATTGTTTTCTGACCGCTCACCAAGCTGAAGCTTACCTGTAACTATGGAAGCAATCACCAATAGTAACCAGTCAAATCACATTTGATTGATAATGTTTCTGAAAACAAAAATACCATTACTGTGTGGAAATGAAAAAGGAGATTCAGTTGAAACTCTCTGTCCTTACTATGTTGTTTTGATGAAAAATCTAAGTGACAAGAGTCTATTTTATGACTATTTATATGATTAAGTTTACTTACATGAAAAGTAAAATACCAAAAATACCAAACTCCAAGGAAAGTTCAAAATGGAAAGCTCATACACATCAAACGAATGGAAAACAACTCTCATATTCTTAACTTGGTACAGGCAGACTTGGTGTATTAATCTCGGTTTAGAGTGTATATCCATTATTATTGGAACATCATTGCCTGAGAGTTTGTTTTGAGCTAAATGTTTGTTTTTTTGTTCATTGAAGAACATATTAAAATTGAAAATAATAGATATTTAATAACATTTGTCAGTTTTTCATTTGCTTGCATGAAAGGTGTCAATGGGGAATAATGAAATACCATCAGCTACAACATATGTGAATAACAGGAGATATGGGTAAACATAAAATGCAACTTAACAATAAAAATAAGCATTCAAAAATTAATAGTATAATAATGAAATATTTATAACATTAATTTTGATAAAGAAATATGTAGAAGACATCTAGGGGCAACATATGTCAAGCTCAAAAAGTTGTTATAAAATTTAACAGAAACAAAGTATAAATAAACCAAGTAGTGGGGTTATAAATTTAAATTAGCCATTTATAAGTAAAAACATAAAGATATGGCATAGGATGCCACTGAAGTACCTGATTTTGGATAGGCACATGCAATTGCCAGAATTGCCTTCATAGCAATTATTTGGAGGTGATTGCCAAACAACTTTATAATTTTGCAGTTTGGTAAAATCTGATGATGTGACATAAAACAGTTGAATTGCTATCTCATTGATGTAAAATTCACATCTACTTTTATCAATGTAACTTCTAATTTGTGGTTATCTAGCATTTAACTTGAATGTATCAACAATACAACCACTTTATGGAAAGATGCACCAAGAAGATAAAGCCTCCCACCACGAATAAAAAGGTCATTCTGTCTTACAAAACATGCATCAGTGACAAAGGTAAAGTTTTTTAAAGTCACAGTTTAGTTATCAGATAATAAGTTATCTAAAAGCTTATTTTTTGTGTGAGAAAATGGAATTACAAATCTCCTCAAGGTAGATAGGGCGTCTTCCTCCATCTTGGATTTTGAAATACCAGAAAACAATCGGTCTAGATCTTTAATAAACTGTGCATATTTTTTAGAGTAGTAGGTAATTCATGTGTAGGAATTTTCATTTCAATATAGAAAATGACATGTTTTATCATATTTATGGTTGTATTTAAAAAAAAACAGAATACTCTTGTTTGATTCAATTTTTTCCAACTTTGCCACATAAGGGGAGGCAACTCAAATGTAAGGGCAGATAATTCAAATAAAGTTACTTTACAATAGAATGTATTAGGAATTTACCTATTTAATTATGTAGCAAGAACATGGGTCCCGGGACCCCATGTTTTCTTGTTCTTAATGATAGCATAATATTAGAGCTATCTTCTCATATTTTATCTCAAAATTCTATGGTGTAGTTTTCGTTTTATGGATGAAAATTAGGTTTTCCATGCATAATCTATACAAAATCTGTCAATTTTGCACAACTTGTTGCGTGAAAATAAGCTCCGTGACCCATTCTTTTTATTGATTTTTTTTAAAAAGCATGATATAAACTACATTTTGGCAAATTATTAAAAAAATCTATGGATTATAATTTAGACACCCCATCTACCTTAACTTGAAATTATATTCCAAACTAAAAAGAATGTCCATTTTAACTTGGATAGTTTGGGAGAAATTTCTTCAAATGATTCTCATTTGAATGGTGGTCATTTGACTTTTGTTAGTCTAACTTGGTACAGGTTTTTTCTTCAATTGAATGTGATTGATTGAACCAAACATCAAATTTTAATGTCATTCCAGTTCCATTTATTCATGTGCCAGGAAGTTGGCGCCAATAATGGATGAGTCTGTTTATATATACATATATCCTGCAGCCAAACAAATGCCTCATGACAAAAGTAGCCACATGGACTCGTATTTCTGCTGACATCCTAATATATTATACACATGTTTACTTTATCATCACAAACAGTTCAGACATGGCTGCATATTTTTACATTCTGCACAGTGAAATGGGCCCCCATTGACAAGAGTATGTGCAGCTGAATGGTAATGCATCCTTAAGTTGAATATAGCAGCCTCAAATGGTTCACTTTTACCTATATTTTGTTGTTTACTTACTTGGGTAACAATATACATCCTGAGATCAGTTCTTAGATACTAAGTAACAAACAGTCATATGACTTGAGGATGATTAAAAATGATAATCTGATTACTTGTGTTTAGAAAGGGTGGTGTAGGAGGGGTTGTCATCCTGGATTCCAGAAAAAATTAAATATTCTTTCCCAGATCCCGAAAAATTAATCATTAAATCCCACTTCCCGAATCTGTGTAAATCCAGAATTCCCGTTAAAATAAAGGCCCAATCCCGAATTCCAGTCAAAAACAAGGCCCAATCCTGACATCCTGAAAAAATGTCTTTCTGCCATCTTTAGAGAGTGCATCACAGCTAGTTCAACAACTGAATTAGAATTCAAAATGTGATCTGTAAGAAGGCAAACTTTATAACCTTACCCTACATACGTTTTTTTTGTAGATGTGAAAAAAATCTACCGTTAGGACAGTCAATTCATTTTTATAGAACTTGCCAAACTAACTTCAAATAGTTATTTTTTTCTGCTCTTGAATATGCATGAAATGTTGGCAGTGGGACAACAAAGTAAATCTCTCACATCACATTTGTGCTGATGAAACATTGACATCGTGCTAAATCACGATTTAATTAATACGCTAATAAGTATAAGTTTTTCAGAAAATGGTGAGCATATAACAGGATATTGTAAATGATCCTTATTAACTCATATTTTTTATTTACCAGACTGAAACTTTTGTCGATTAATTGAAAACCATGTAAGTGGTACTTACTGTTAACCGCTTTATTAGTGCCCCGCCGAATGGCGGACGCCCTATAATGATCAGTCTGTCCGTCTGTCCGTCCGTCCTTCCGTCCGTAACAAATTGTGTCCACTCTATATCTAGAGAACCGTTATGATTTCAAAGTTTATACTTGACATGTATATTAACCAAAACCAGAGGGTGTGTCATAATGTATGTACAAATTCCTAGGTCAAAGGTCAAGGTCAAAAACTTTGGTTTCAGTTGAGAACCCCATGTCCTATGGTAAAGATTGTGTCCGCTCTATATCTTGAGAACCCTTATGATTTCAAAGTTTATACTTGACATGTATATTAACCAACACCAGAGGGTGTGTCATAATGTATGTACAACTTCCTAGGTCAAAGGTCATGGTCAAAAACTGGTTTCAGTTGACAACCTCATGTCCTATGATAAAGATCGTGTCCGCTCTATATATAGAGAACCGTTATGATTTCAAAGTTTATACTTGACATGTATATAAACCAACACCAGAGAGTGTGTCATAATTTATGTACAACTTCCTAGGTCAAAGGTCAAGGTCAAAAACGTTGGTTTCAGGTGACAATCCCATGTCCTATGGTAAAGATACAAATTTTTAAACGCACATTATTCACAGCGGGGCTCACAGAGATGGCTCCCATCTCAATGATATCTAGTACTTTCTATTACATTTTATCGCCATTAGCCCTTTCTTCTAAAAGATATATTTTTGATTTTTTTTAAAAACTTTATTGATGTACGGGTATCAGTGAAGGTTTAGGGTTTACGTATTCAGATTATTTTTCTCTTTATCTTATAATTACGTTAATAATTTGCGTGTGTTAATTAATTGGTTTACTATAGAAACAAATGACTAGACATGGAGTCAAATATGTATGACCGTTAAACTGAAGTTCTATGAAATGATTTCAATTTCGTGCACTTCTCATGATAAGTGGATGAGTTCATTTGTAATATTTTGTTGAAATATGACAAGTACATTAATTTTGTAATGACAATATTGTTACAAGTATTGACAATTGATGACTAAGTTAAATAAGATGTTAAATAACCTAATTGTCTGAAGCTGTAGAATGACTTTCCGATTAGTCTTTTTAAAATTATCCACCAATAAACGTTTACTTTTACACCTCCTTTATGTAATCAAATCAACTTGCTGTTAAGATTTTCCCGAACTGCATGTGTTTTGGAAATTTATGTAATGAATAGGATCCACAAGCCTTGAAAAATCTCAACCAAAACTGATTGTCTATGGTTTTCGTCTCAGTAGTGGAAGAATACCTTTGAAGACAAAAGTAAAATTACAAAATACCGAACTCCAATGAAAATTCGAATCGGAAAGTCACTTATCAAATGGAAAAATCAAAAGCTCAAACACATCATAACGTATGGAAAAAACAACTGTCATATTCCTAACTTGGTACTGGCATTTCCTTTTGTAGAAAACGTGGATTAAACCTGGTTTAGGGAGCTACCATTTGATTTTTATGGGGGGGGGGGGGGGGGGGGGGGGGGGGGGAGGGGGGAGGGGGTTTGGGGGGGGGGGGGGGGGGGGCTAGGATGAAATTTGAAAAAAATAGGCAGGACAGGAGTTTTTGAGTTTAAAAAAAGGCAGGATGAGACACTTGCAAAAAAAAAAAGTCAGGTTGACAATTTAGGTAAAAAAAAGTCAGGATCAACTTTAAAAAAAAAAAGCAGGACCGAATAGAGTGAAAAATAAAAAGGCAGGACAGAGATTACAACTAAAAAAAAAATGCAGACAAAAATTTTCATCCTAGCCCCCCCATAAAAATCAAATGGTAGCTCCCTTAATAGCTAGCTAAACCTCTCACTTGTATGACAGTCGCATAAAGTTCCAATATATTGACAACATAGCTGAAAAAAAACCCCAAACATGATAGGTAAAAAGGTCAAAAATAGGGGTACAGCAGTCAACATTGTGTTATAATCTTAATCACTATAAAACAAACAAATATGTCAACAAAGAAAAAAACAAAATGGCATATAGACAAAGCACACAAGCGAAACAAGAATACAAAAATGACCATAGCACAAAAACACAACGGCCGATGCATGAGTTCGAGCCACGACTAAAGGATATTACCGAAAATGAACTTAATCGTAAATGTTAAAAATTTACAAACAAAATAAAAGAACACAATAACACAGGGAAGAAAAAGACATTGGTGATATTTTTACATCTTTATATACACCTCCATGCATCTAATTTCTAGCAGAATAAGAAGACAATTTCTTTACTGGGTGCATAAGTACCTTTGATATATTCATATGTTCAAATATTTTTTTCTCGCAAGGTTTACCTATATAGACGTTTTAGCAACAGACCGTTTATACTCATGTTA